ACTTCAACTCCCAGAATTCCCCAGCCAGTATGGGAGTTGAAGTCCACTCATCTTAAAGTGGCCAAGGTTGGACAACACTGGAGTAGACCCTTGCATCTTAGTAATGTGAGTATGATGCAATGCAAATCTTACCGGCACTCCGGGAAATCCAGGGAAAAACTAAAAAGAGATAGAAGAACAAAGGGAGATAAGAAACATAAAATCAGTATAGTACTTTGAATTCTCATAATAGAGGTTAATTAACCGTCTGAAGCCCCTTTCATGTGTAAGGGTTGTGCCCCCATCTCCCTATGAAATTGTGAGGGGGCTCTGGGCATGGGAAACCCAACCCTTGATGTCTCAGTCTATGGCAATTATATTGAGAGCTAGAATTTTCCAGAACAGGAATGATGGTTACCTTAACAATAAAGTGTTGCCTAGCATCAAGCCTGAGAAATGCAAAGCAAGGTGTCTGTTAAGTCATGGGAAAGGTGGAGAAAAGAAGTGCTGAATTAAAAGTGCAAAGAGTGTTTAGACAGAAGGACAATCAACAGCTTAAAAGTGGCTTCATCCTCCTGCTGGGTTTCCTTGCTCACCCTCAGCGCAAGCTACCTGGGATACTCAAAACAACATGGCTGAGAAGCTTCAGCAAAGTCCAAGCTGGAGAACCTGAGTCCAGCCTACCTCACTAGGTTGTAGAAGGGAGACCCCCACCCCTCATGAAAGCTGCTTTGAGCAGGGGAGTCAAGATATAAATGTAATGTAACAATAATAACAGCACAAATTTGCCACAACTTTGAATGGCAATGCAAAAGTCCTCTAATACACGAGAGAGTTTCAGACAAGCTTAGCTGATACAGAACATGTATCTGATGACTGTATCTCTAGCATAGCATCTAGCATCTCTAGCTGAGGACACTTTGGAATATGGGCCAGGAAATGCTATGCTGTTTCTCCTTCTCCCCACTGCTGGTCCTCAGCTGCCTGAGCCATCTAGTTTTTTATATAGTGTTTTGGGAATTAGATGTCACACTGTTCTTAAAAAGACAATCAGCCTCCAAGGTTCAAACCAAGAGTACCCTGGGACGCCCTCAAATGACCCTCAGATCTTATTGATAGAAATAGGACTGAGTGAAAGTCTTACCGGAGCAGGTCCTGGAACCTAGAGAAAAGGCAGAAAAAGTGGGGAAAATCTACCATGTCACATGAAGTAGTATGAGCACAAGCATTCACATTCACCTCTCACTTTCACCTAGAAACAGCTCATGTTGCTGACTGCCACAGGAATGTTGCGGGGCTCAATTATCTTTGTGGAAACTTGGCATGTAACCTCATCTAATGGGAGGTACACAAATGTATTCTGAGACTCAACTTCAGATTTAAATTCTTACTACGTTGTTGAGCTTATTAAAATTAATGGGTGTTGTTAGTTGAATCAAAGCTAAGACTTAGTATCTGTTCTCAGTGCCAAGTTTCAGCTTGGGAACATGTAAATTTCAAGGAGACTACCTCTTAATCCATACGCATATAGAATCAATTCCTTTACCATAGAGCATGGCCAGAGATATACCCTCACCATCTTTGTACTTCATTTATCCTTGGTAATTTACTTTAGCTAAGCTGAATCTCATCCTCTGCTCTGTGTCCTTCTTTTGGAAGGTCTAGCTTGTGAGATGACATAAACAGGCTGTAGATAATCAGCTTTTGAAACCAGGTAATTACAATTGCTATAGAAATACAGAAGGCTTCTTATGAGTTTTGACATATGCAATACGGAATGCTTAACTAGAAGGATTAAAAAATTCCTGCCCCAGTCATGAATTGTGTGGAAATTAATCCAATAAAAATTAAATCTGAAGAGAGAAACATGAACTATTTACTACCCATGTTCATCCTAGTTTTGGGGAGTCACTTTGTCTATTCAGGGAACTTCCATTGTACAGTCTGGAAGAGTTTGTAACTACTGCTTTCCCAGTTTGGCATCCTCTTGAACTGTTGTGACTGCAGTGTTGTATTTCTGGCACATTGGGGAAGATCTCAGATGGGGAAGGCTGATTAAGATGAATTGTGGAACTTCCACAGAATATTCAAGCTTCTTTAGGAGAAGACTTGACTCTACTGCAAACTTACTCAGGGTTTTTGTAGCAGACAGTCCTAAGTTTGTAATGCAGAAATGCTTATCCTTTCTATATGCCAACCTAGAGAGAAGCAATGCAAAACTAATATTGATAAATTGTCTTACTAGGAATGGAGGTATCGGCATCGCTGCGCCATTTGCCTAAAGAAAACGGATATGTCTCAGTCAATTCAGTATGCCTCCTAGTGCTATGCCCCTCTGATTTCAGTCTTGCTGCCATTTTGCTTCAAGTGCTACTTTTTTACATATAAAAACTGTGCCATAAGTGAGGGTGAAGAGATAGGAAATCATATTGTCTTTCTAGATCCTTTGAGGAGCAATCCCCAAAAAGGTAATAACTTTGTATGCTTAATTAGTCACTTATTGAAATACATGAGATTTGGTTGGCACCGTTTTGAAACTGGTGAAAGAATCTAATTTGAATTTTTGTCTCCTCCCTCCCCCTATGATTGAATTCTCCCATACCTGAGCTGGATCAATGGGTATTGGAATAGGTATCAGCTGTAAAATAAAATGAGTATATTAATCAGTTGTATAAGACACAAGAACGTACAATAGGGCTTATTTATTTGCCTTCATACCCACCAACGTTCATTTAGCCTGCTTTTCTATTTATTTGGCAATCTCTACTGTCTCTGCCCACAAGAGCAATGGGAATTGAATACACGCTGTCAGATAAGATGCTTACAAATTGCTGAAACATTCCTCAATAAAATGTTCAGCCACATTCTCTCTTTCTCTGTCTCTCCCCTCCATCCCTCTTCACGGTATGGATTGAGTCTGAGCTGGAAAAGTTATGAACTTGATCAGCATGAGTTACTTGATGCTACAGTGCCATCTAGTGATACCAATGCTGTACAAATCTTAGCACACCTATGGTGTGGTCCTTAGATCCTGAGTGGGCCAGCAATCAGTGGCCACCTGCATTTCTGTGAATTCCATAATAGGACCTTCTGAATTATCTGTCACCAGGCAGAAATCTTTTCTTATCATGAATGTTGTCAAAGCAAGTGGCAGTTCTCAGCTAAAAAGGTTTTGACCAGGCCTACAATCAAATGAGATGCAGAAGGCTAAAATAGGAAAGCATGGCAGGCTGCATTTGCATCATGGTCTGGAGAATCCCTATCCTTGACCTGCCAACATCACCACTAAACATCTTGCTGTAATTAGTACCCTTTGTCATATCTAATGGGTGAAGCATATTTGAACATGGAAGTATAACCTCCTGTTTTGTTAAGTACAGCTTGTGTCATTGGAATGGATAGGTGTCATCAACGTGGTCCTTACAGATAGTCACTTCAATTAAAATCAGGATGCTCTTACCGGTATTGGTAAAGGAGGTAGGTTCGGTGGTGCAGGTGCCTCTGGTAGTGGTAATGGAGGTAAGATTGGCGGTGGTGGTATCAGAGGTATTGGTGGTGGTGGAGGAGGAGGAGGAGGAGGTAGAGGAATTAGGAAGCGAGGAATGCGCTGTGGAAGTATAACAGAGCACCATTCTCATTCTTCTTAATGAGTTAGGATTCTAAAGGATTCTGTACCAGTTACTTTGGTCGCCTTTTCATTTCTGGGCTCAGCCTAAACTGGTTTTGACCTGTAAAGCCCTGTTCGGTTTACTTGAATGGTCACCTCATGTCTGTGAATCTGTCTGGGTTCTGTCATCATTTCTGAAGATCTGTTTTTTGTTTGCTCTAAAAGCTATCAGGTTAATGGTGGAAGGGAATGGTCTTTTAGTGCTGGCCCCATATCTTTGCAATCTCCTCCCCTGAAACCTGAGAAAGGTCCCTGAGATAATTTCATTGTTCTGTTGGTACTTTTTTTTTTAATTTGAAAGAGAAAATTTTGTAAGCCCCGTATTAGTGTGATTGTTCTAACAGATGGGATAAAAATAAATACATTTACGCTATCCTAAAAACTCATTTCAGAATCTAAGGATAAGTTACAAGATCTTGGCTGCAAACTAGATGGCCAGTAGATGGTGTTTAGAGTTTTCTCTTTGCTGCCATCTGGTAATTATCCAGATTTGTGTAGCCCTATCTCATAACCCAATCTGAGGAGTCATTGCAGTGTGCATGTTCTTCTAACACTAATACATTAGCAGATGGGAAATTATAGCAAAGAAGCAATTTACCTGTTCACTGGATCCACTTGCTGACCGCTGTGAAAACAGATAAAATAGAGTTAAAACTTAGCTTTTGGGAAACAGCCCTTTATTGTCATATTGTGAGAAAATATTTTTGAGAAGTATTATTCAAAAATTCCTACCTATCAGATTCCTCAGTTTTCTTCATTTCTTTTTCCTTTTTTCACCCCATAATCCAGTTAGGGGTGAGCAGTATAGAAAAAGGGACTAAAGTGAAACTTATTCTCTCACACACTTGTGACAAATAGGAATTGGTCAAGGGAAGTGATAGATTTACCTCAACACGTCTCCCACTTCTGACGCTATGATGATCTGCTTCTGCTTTCTTTGTGACTCGTGTTGGGTGTCTTTCCTTCATGGATTTAAAATAAAATTTGTAAGTAGAGAACCAAAGTGACAGAAAAGGGAATGGCCTTTTCATAAGATTCTTATGAAAGCCCCCGGTTTCATAATATTCCACCCATTCACATAGGTGCTGTTTAAAAACAACAATGACTGTATTAGGACTTTCATATCTCTTGCATTGTGAACACTATTCAAGTAAGAATACAAACCACCTATTGTATACAGATGTCAGGGAGAACCTACCAATGTAGGTTACCTTCACATGTATAGTGGATAAATTGTACACCTAAAGATATTCATGGTTCTTTCTCACATAAAGTAATAAATAGTGTAGGAAGTACATCATATGTCAAGCTGCCAAATTGCTGTGATTATCTCTATTGCGCTTTTTTTCCACTGATTAAAAAAAAAAAAGCCATAATTGTTTATCATATAGGGACAATTACATTATCAAGATGTCCTTGTTCAACCTTCCATGGCCTGGTCTCTACCAGATGTCTTGGAACTAGAATTCCCACCAACATGACCTAAGAAATCTGGCCACTGTAGTGTCAACATTTGGGTAGACTTATTCTAGTGAAACAATACTCATGGTAAGAACTTGAATGGGGGAATGGGAAATCCCAGAGTTGTAGGCTAGACTGAGAAGTTGAAGAAACCTCAAAGGCAATGGCAAACAACTTCTACTTAAAGCTACACAGATGATCCTTCGAATCACCAGGAGCTCAGCTCAGCCTAAGGTAGTTTTTACTTTAATTCAATGCTACTTACACGGACTGGGACAGTGAGCACTACATTCAGAAGACAGGCAAGAAGAATCAACAGTTTCATTTTGGTAGGGAAACCTGAAGTGATTTAATAGAGAAACAATTAAAGCTAGTCTTTTCCTTAAGTTGCTCTCAAAGTTTATCAGTCCTTTTCTATCCTGAAACTAATTTATTAATTGATTTGTTTGCTTTTGAATGCCCCTCAATCTTCCTTTTTATTTTTTTTTAAATTCTATGAAATACCAAACAGTAAAATTGATTGCTGTAAAACTCAAGAATTTCACCATCACATTTCAGTGTCCATCTGATGTTAATTTCAGAAGTAGTTTCTTCAGGTTTTGGACAGTAAGATATATGTCTCTACTTGTTCCTCATAGTCACTATGGTAATAGCTCATGTAGTTTTTGTAGCTAGCTTTCTTTCTATTTAAACTTAATGTGCTGAATCTCCATCTACCCTTTCACAAATTATTTACCTATTGACCAAAGAGGCTTTCATTTTGCACTCTTATCTTTGTGCACAAATAGGCTGAAAGGTGCAGGTGTAAATGTGGCCTATGTCCAATAATAATATTTTTTGGAAAGTCTCCAAGATGACTTAACAGTCTTGCTCCCATATGGATTTGTAACTTGGAAGATGTGCAAGGGTGTTGTTCTAGTTAAAACCCCTTTTTGACATTCTGTTAGGTTTAGTCTTATTCAGAAAAAAAAAACTCCTGCATTTTTCCTTTTTCTTTTGGTCCGTTTTATGAAAGAGGATTTGCTTTCAAACTTTCTTTCAAAGGAGAGAATAATTTCAAAGAAAATCTCATGGATTCTTGCAGTTGTTTAATGACCAGGAAGCCAAAGGCTGTATGTGTGTGAATGTCATAGGACAGTTTTGTCTCCAGCTGTATGACCCCCCCCCCCCCGGTTT